ACAACAGATCACGCGCCTGCTCGCGAAAAACCCCAAGTCCTCCCACGCCCACACCCTCGCCGCGATGATCGCCGTCGCCCTCGACGATCAGGACCGCGCCCTCTACCACGCGCAGAGCGCCATCAAACTCGATCCAAACAACCCCGACGCGCAGACCACCCTCGCGTCAGTCCACGCGCTCCAGAACAACCAGCAACTCGCCCTCGACCACTACACCAAAGCGCTCGCGATCCAGCCCAACCACCCCGGCGCCCTCGCGGGACTCGGAACAGCGCAGTCCGAGCTCGGACACTACAACCAAGCCCGCCAAACCCTCAAGCAGGTCCAGCAGCTCAACCCCAACCTCCCCGACCCCCTCGTCAACCGCGCCCTGCTCGAACTCGACACCACCCACGCGCACCGCGCCATCAAGATCCTCGAAGCCGCGCCACCAAACATTGCCAAGCATCCCGCCGCACTCGATCTCTACGCGCTCGCCCATTCCTATGACGACAGTAAATCCCCAGTGCAAATCTTCAACGCCCACAAACGCTACGGCGACGAGCTCGAATCACAGATCCCCCCCTCCAAACACACCAACACCAAAGACCCCAACCGAAAGCTCAAAGTCGGCTATCTCTCAGGAGACCTCCACAAACATTCCATCACCTTCTTCCTCGAACCAATCGTCGCAAACACCAATAAAGACCTCTACGAAACCCACATCTTCACCACCTCTGCTCATCGCGACGAAATCACCGAGCGTCTGAATCAACATACAGACCATTGGCATGTATGCAACACCCTCACGCTCCCACAACTCGTCAAACTCATCAAAGACCAGCAGATCGACATCCTCATCGAGCTCGCCGGACACTTCGCCGGACACAAACTCCCCGCTTTCGCCGCGACCCCCGCACCTGTCCAGATCACTTTCATCGGATACGGCAACACCACCGGACTCTCTCGCATCAACGCACGCTTCGTCGATGAGATCACCGACCCCAAAGATTCCGACCACCTCGCAACCGAAACACTCGTCCGACTCCAAGGATGCTTCCTCTGCTACCAGCCACCGCTCGACGAACTCCCCGACCCTCAAGAACCCAACGCAACCCGCCCCTTCACGCTCGGCTCATTCAATAACCTCAAAAAACTCTCCCAGTCTACCATCAAAGTCTGGTGCGCCATCCTCAAAGAACGTCCAGAAACAAACCTGCTCATCAAGTCTTCCAAACTCGCCAACGAAGAACTCAAAGCAGAGCTCCTCGCCCGCTTCGCAGACCAAGGCATCGACCAATCCCGACTCGACCTCCGTGCCTTTTCCCCCACCACCAAAGACCACCTCGACACCTACAACGACCTCGACCTCGCGCTCGACACCTTCCCCTACACCGGGACCACCACCACCTGCGAAGCACTCGCGATGGGAGTCCCCGTCCTTACGCTCCTCGGCCAATCACACGCCGGACGCGTCAGCGCCTCACTCCTGACCGCGATCAACCACACCGAACTCATCGCCCAGTCCGAATCCGACTACATCACCAATGCACTCGAGCACATCGACGCCGGGAAACGAAGCAAGCACGCCCGCCAATCCCTCCGCGACCAGCTCCTCACCTCCCCCCTGTGCGACCAAGCCCCCTACGCCCGCAAGGTCGAGGACGCATACCGTACCCTCTGGAAGCAATGGTGCGCCAGCAAATAAGCTCTACACACATGACCAACCCCACCCCCGTCATCTGGCTCGCCTCCTACCCCAAAAGTGGCAACACCTGGCTCCGCTTCATGCTCTACGCCGCGCTCTACGGCCCTCCACAACGCTCCGCCGATGTCCCCGCGAAGATCCAAGACATCCATCGACAGATGCCGACCGACCTCGATCCCCAGGGGCCACACTTCATCAAAACACACTTCCAGCTCACAGATCAGCACCCCATGCTCGATCGCACACTCAAAGCAATCCACATCATCCGCAACCCACGCGACGTCCTCCTCTCCGCGCTCAACTACCGCAAACTCACCGGCGAGGGCTCCTGGACCATCACCAAAAAGCACTACGCCAAAGCCTTCATCAAAACCGGAGGCGATCCCGACTTCGCCAAAATCGGATTCGGGACCTGGGCCTCCCACGCTCGCTCATGGCGCACCACCGAACGCTTCCCTGTCCTCGCGCTCCGCTACGAGGACCTCAAGTCCCAGCCCCACACCGAGCTCACCAAGATGCTCGACTTCCTCGAGATCACCAAATCCCAAGAAGAGATCGACGCCGCCGTCACCGCCAGCTCCTTCGACGCGACGCGCGCATTAGAGATCCGCGAGAAGAACGCCGACAAATCAAACGACCTCTCCAAACGCCTATTCGTCGGATCCAAAGACGCAACCCGCAAAGGCATCTATTTCATGAACAAAGGCAAAACCAACCAATCCCTAGAAGACCTCGCGCCAGGACTCGACGCCCAGTTCAACGCCGCGATCAAAGACGACCTCGCCGAGTTCGGATACGAAAGCTAATTACGCGTCGTATCCCAGCAATCCACAGATCTCCGCGTACCGCTCGTCGCTTCTAAACCGCTCAAGCAGCCCCTCATCCACCCCCTTGCGCTCAAGCGCCCGGATCTCTTTGACCCGCGTCCCCTCGCTGCCGCTCTTGTCCGTGTCCCCCGTCACAAACTGATAACTCCCCCACCGCTCGCGATACTGTGCATCAAACTCAACCTCCAGCATCGCGCACAACTTCCGCAGCTCCCCATCGGGATCGCGCGTCAGGTCCTCGTAGCGCACAAACCCGCAGTCCTTCACGTACTCCGCAAACGCAAGATTCCCATCAAGAAACAGATCCCAGTCCACGCCCCCCGCGCCAGCGATCGCGCCGATCTTTGAAAGCGAAACATACTGATCCACCGGATGCCGAGTCGTGCACGCCTCGACCACCTCGTACGCGCCCATCAGCGAATCCCGCAGCCCCGTCCCCATCTGCGCTTTCACATACGGCGCGCCGTAGTAATCCAGATGCGACCAGTCCCGCAGCACCAGCGCCTCGCCGCGACCGCTCGCCTTGGTCTCGCACATCCCCACAAACTGCAGCATGCTCGGACCACCCATCCGCTTCCACTTAGACACCTGCTTGAGATCCACCAGTCCGAACCACTCCACCGCCTGCATCATCGGATTGGTCACCACCAGATTCCCCGGATGCACCTCAGACAGCACAACCACGCCATCCATCGAACCGAGACACTTGCTGATCAGCGTCCCGCCCGTGCGCGCCAGATGACGCAGGATCCGAATCTTTGGTTTGCGTGATGCCATCAATCCCGCCTCATCATGCCCGCTTAACGACCAAGTACATCCGCGTGCGCCTGCATCCACGCCCACTGCTTCTCCATCCCATCACGTATGCTCGTCGTCGCGCCGTACCCAAGCTCACGCTTGGACCGCTCAAGATCCGCCCAAGTCCGATCCACATCCCCCGCCTGCATCGGTTTGCGCTCGACAATAGGATCGCGCCCCACAACCTCCCCAACCGTCCGGATCAACTCGTGCAGCTCCATCGGATGATCGCTCCCCAGATTCCAGATCCGATACCCGTGCGATTCGATCCGCTCATAACTCACCAGCACCCCCGAAACAATGTCATCAATAAACGTGAAGTCTCGGCTCATCGATCCATCCCCAAACATCATGATCGACTCGCCTTTGGATACCTTGCTTAAAAACAAACGGATCGCAAGATCGGGACGCTGTCCAGGACCAAAGACCGTAAAGAATCGAAGCATTGCAGTTGGCAACCCAGTCAGATGATGATGCGTCTCCCCGATCAACTCGCACGCGCGCTTCGTCGCCGCGTATGGAGAGATCGGATGCTCCACCGAATCCTCCTCGCTAAACGGCGCCTTCTCGTTGTTGCCGTACACCGAAGACGACGACGCCGCGACCACACGCTTGCACCCCGTCGAACTCGCCGCCGTCAACACCGACTGCGTCCCCGTCACATTCACCCGCGCATACCCAACCGGATCCGCAATCGAAGGCCTGACCCCCGCCTTGGCGGCAAGATGCACCACCCCCGTCACGCCGTGCTCAATCATCAACCGCTCGAGCGCCGCCGTGTCCCCGATATCCATCTCCGCAAACGCGAACTCGCCCCCCGCGCTTTCCACCGTCTTGAGATTGTGGTCCTTCATCGACCGCGCGTAGTAGGGATCAAAGTTGTCCACCCCGACCACCTTCGCACCGCGCTCAAGCAGTGCTACGGAAACGTGCGAACCGATAAAGCCCGCCGCCCCCGTCACCAGCACACATTCGTTTCCGTAGTCCATCCACAACCTCGATCATCAAGAACAGATTCAGATCCTAGGTGCTGCCAACCAGCCCCCCAACCCCGCACGACAAATCTACGAACACCGCCCCGCCCCCGTTCAAGGAACCGCTCTCAAAGCACCCACCAAATCTGCTTTCAAAAACGCTTACACCCAGCCCCACTCAAGCAAACCAAACAAAAAAGAAAGCAGGGTGCCATGGGTCCACGGCACCCCGCTGGAGGAGAGAGAGATCTGTATAGAATGATCGAAACAGATAACCTTCAAGCTTTCTTATCGGTATATTGACCAAAAACCTTGCCTATCTTCACATATTTCATATTATGTTCGGATTTTATTCGCATAGAATCTTGCGTTTCGTGTGGATATCTCCGTTTCTAGTTCCAAACAATGTCGATACACTCCCTGCAAGCACAAACATCCCAAACATTACAAACTCGCACCAACACGCAAAGCACACACGCCATGTCATCCTCCACCGACGACGAACCTCGATCTTCCAAGCCTCGACCAGAGGCCGACGATGACCCACACCCGGCGACCAACGGTGCATCTCCACATCCCCACTTCGAACTCTTCGATCCCCTCAACCTCATCTCTCAACAACAACACCAACAACTCCATCAATGGACCAGTGCTGTCTTCGCGCACCTCAACGCGTCCGGCTCCGTCCGTGTCAAACTCGTCAACGACGAGCAGATGTCCAGCGCCCACCTCCAGTACTCAGGTATCCCAGGCACCACCGATGTCCTGACCTTCGACCTCAACACAGAGCACGATCTCGATTTAGACATCCCCAAAGAACTCGATACCGACCTCATCGTTTGTGTCGACGAAGCTCAAAGACAATCGTCAGACCTCAACCACTCCACCACCCACGAGATCCTCCTCTACATCATCCACGGCACACTCCACTGCCTCGGATACGACGACCACACACACCAAGATTTCACTCAAATGCACACATACGAAGACCAACTCCTCACACAAGCCGGAATCGGACCGCTCTTTGATCTGAGTACGAACCCAACTAAGGAGACCGACCAATGACCCCCCCATCACCAGGTTGGATCTTTGTCATCCTCTGTGTCCTCCTTACGATCTCGGCGCTGCTTTCGTCTGTGTCGGTCGCGCTCATTACGCTCTCACGCGCCAAGCTCGCTTCGCTCATCCAGCGCGACGAAGACTCTCAACTCTCCAAACGACTCAAAATTATTGAGAAAGACCCCGATGGTCACGCGGCCGCGATCAGACTGCTCACGATCTTTGTCAATCTCCTCGCCGGACTCGCATCGATCTATTGGATCACCGGCATCCTCAATCTCCCCTACGCAACACTCCCCGCTGTGCTCGCAGGACTCGTCATCGCCACGCTCCTGATCTGGCCCGCAACCATGCTCGTACCGATCGGGATCGCCAATCATGCCGGCGAACGCTTCGTCGCAACTTTCTCAATCCTCATCCGCACTACACACACCGCTTTCTCACCATTCCTGCTCCTCATGCGATTCCTCGATGAAGTCATCCGCCGACTCGCAGGCACAGACCTTGAACCGGAGCAAGACGCCATCAGCTCCGAACTCCTTTCAGTCGTATCCGAGGGTGAACGCGAGGGGCACATCGACGAAACAGAGCGCGACATGCTCGAAGCCGTCGTCGAGTTCCGCTCCACGCTCGCCGAGTCCGTCATGACCCCGCGCACCGAGGTCGACGCGCTCGAGTACACCAACGACCTCCAAGCCGTCCAGCGCTTCATCGACGAGCACGGCCACTCACGCGCGCCAGTCTACGAAGAAAACCTCGACCACATCATCGGGATGCTCTACGCCAAGGACCTCCTCGGATGGATCATGTCCCACGACCAGAACGACACCTTCGATCTCAAGTCCATCCTCCGCCCGCCATCCTTCGTCCCCGAAACCAAAACCGTCCGCGAGCTCCTCGCGCAGCTCCTCGCAGACAAGGTCCACATCGCGATCATCATCGATGAATACGGCGGCACCTCCGGACTCGTCACTATGGAAGACATCGTCGAAGAAATCTTCGGCGAGATCCAAGACGAATACGAAAAACCAGAAGACGACCCCGCCGGAGTTGAGATCGATGAGTCATCCACCTTCGCCACAATCGACGCTCGCACAGAGATCGACGACGCCAACGACGAGCTCGAACGACTCGGGATCGAGATCCCAGAATCAGACGACTACGACACCGTCGCGGGATACATCAACACCACACTGGGACGAATCCCCGAGCAAGGTGAACAAGTCACCCAAGACAAAATGAACATCACCATCCTGGAAGCAGAACCCACCCGTGTGCTTTCCATCGCCGTCGAGCCGGCGCCCGACGAGGAAGCCGTCGATTGACCTATCAATCGTTGTCGAGATTCATATCGTGCTCACGCACGCGACGAACGCGCTGCCTCGCCGAATCTTCAATCGTCAATCCCGCTTCACGCGCCATCAGCGCGAGTTCAACCTTGTTGGACTTCTGCAGCTTCGCGCCAAGCGAGATGCGATGGTTCTCGACCGTCTTCACCGAGCGATGCATCAGCTCCGCGATCTCTTTCGCTGTCAGTCCTTGACCGATCAGTGCCAAGACTTCAAGCTCACGCTTGGTCAGCACACAAAGCTCGCCGAGCCCCGCAACTTCTGACTCAACCACAGACATCTCTGAATCAAGCAGCAATCCGGCTTCTCCGCCCGCACCAACGCGGCGCGTCACGACGAGAGCACGAAACGGCTCGCCGTCCTCGTTCCCCAGTGATCGCATCCAACTGAACTGCTGCTTCCCCTGCCAGATCGTGCGCAGGATCATCTCCTTGCCTGTTTCCTCAATCTCGCGGATCAAACGGATCCGCTCGTCGGCCCACTGCTTCGGGAATCCAAGCTGATCCAGATCCTTCCCGATCACTTCCTCAATCTGAGGCGGATCCGCAAAGAAGATACGCAGCGAGGTCTCATTGATGTACAAAACCACACCATCACGATCCAGCACCGCCACGCCCGTGCCAGGCTCTTGACTCAAGACTTTGAAGATTGTTTCGCTTTCGCTCATTTGTAGTACCAATACTATCTGTCCAGTTACGAGAGAAGCCCGAATCCTAGGATTACAGCGATGACATTCAAACTGTACAACTCCATCACAAAGCAAATAGAGTCATTTTCCCCAAAGAATTCAGACTCAATCACCTTCTACTCGTGTGGTCCAACAGTCTACGACGACGCACATATCGGGAACTTCCGCTCCTTCCTCGCCGCCGATCTTTTACGAAGATGGGTCGAGTCCCCTATGTGCAAACTCCAAACAGAGTCGGATGAACCTCATTCAGGACCCCGCAAAGTCACCCATGTCATGAACATCACCGATGTCGGACACATGACCGACGACGACAACGCCGACGGCGGAGGCGAAGACAAAATGGAAGTCGCCGCTCAGCGACTGCTTGAATCAAAAAAATCAGGGGACAAACACACCGCCGCGGACATCGACCCCAACGACCCTCGGCAGATCGCACGCTTCTACGAAAAACGCTTCAAAGAAGACGCGATCGCGCTGGGACTCAAAGTCGCGATTGAAGACCGCGACCGAAAGCCAGGCACCCCCTCCCTCATGCCGCGCGCAAGCGAACATGTCGAGCATATGAAACAGGTCATCACCGACCTCCTCAACAACAACCACGCCTACACCGCCGGACAGCCCGGCTCCCGCGCCGTCTACTTCAACACCCAAACCTTCCCAAACTACGGCTCCCTCTCCGGAAACACCCTCGACCAACTCAAAGGCGGCGCCGGAGGTCGCGTCGACCAAGCACAACAATCCGAAAAGAAACACCCCGCCGACTTCCTCCTCTGGAAAGAAGACAGCTCACACAAAATGAAATGGGACGCCCCAAACCACCCAGACTGCAACGACTGGGACCAGGGATACCCCGGCTGGCACATCGAATGCACCGCCATGGCTTTAGCACGCCTTGTGCCGGGAGGTCTGAACGCCGCCCGCGCCACCCACGCAACCATCGACCTCCACTCCGGAGGCGAAGACAACATCTTCCCCCACCACGAATGCGAGATCGCGCAGTCCTGCTGCTTCACCCACCACACCGACCCCACCCAATCCACCTTCGCGCGCCACTGGTTCCACGCAAGGTTCTTGAAGGTCGAAGGCGAGAAGATGTCCAAGTCCAAAGGGACCATGTACACCCTCCGCGACCTCACTGACAAAGGCATCGACCCCGCCGCCGTGCGCTTAGAACTCATCAAAACCCACTACCGCGCCAACGCGGACTTCTCCATGCAAGGCCTAAAGGACTCCGCCAAGCAAATCCAGCGCTGGCGCACCTTCAAAGCGAACGCACTCGCCGGTGATACCGGAGAACCCAACACACCCGTCCGCGACCAAGTCGCCGCGGCATTGTCCGAAGACCTCAATATCTCCGGCGCTCTGGGCGCGATCAACACCTGGATCAAGAACACACCAAACCCCACCAAAGCCGACGCGAAGCTCATGGACGACTTCGACCAAATCCTCGGCGTCCTCTCTCTCAAACAACCCGAAGCCGCGCAGTCCGAATCAGGCATCGCCCTCTACCAACCCGGCGTCACCCCCTCCGAAGAAATCGAGTCCCTCCTCCAGCAGCGCGCCGACGCGAAGGAATCCAAAGACTTCGAGACCGCCGACGCGATCCGCGACCAACTCTCCGCGATGAACCTCTCCATTATGGACAAACCCGGAGGCAAGGTCGAGGTGGCACCAGCACACTGAGGGTCATTTTTGAGAACTCTATTCTATGGCTGGATCGTTTGATTTAAACTCGATCAAAAGCAACGCCAAGGAAGCACTGCCAAGCAGAAGCCCGACAAGCCACCCCCCTATGCGAAAGCTATTCATGCCCGCGGACGCTGAAAGCCAAAACCATACAGCCGCAGGGATCGTTAAACTCATCAACGCAAATAGAACTCGCCCCCCGCGCGATAGCATCAAAAGACCATACGAATAAACACTTGAGACAATCACCGCTCCCACAACCGCACAGCATGTTTCAATCAACAAAAATGAATCAATGAAAATGCCAAAGTACCCACCAGGGCTCCCGCGGAATGCTATGAACCCGGGAATCAAACCAACTACGCTTCCAGCAAAACCACCAATGAGTCCGGCAATAACAGTGATCCCGGAACAAACAAGCCAAGATTTTTTCTGAACATCACCCATCCGAGTACCATTCTGGGAATTGCATTCATTCTCTTTCAACAATCTAACCTATATCCACGCCATGGGCCCTCTGGAAATTCATTCTCTTGAAGTTCTGGTAGATGCTCATCATCACTACAACCGACTCGATCCGCGACTAGCTCTCCGCGATGGACAAGCCTGGAGGCAAGGTCGAGGTCGCGCCGATCAACTGATCAGCAACAGTAAGCAAAAATAGTGCGAGCGTGCCCATCACCAGACACGCCCGCAAGTGGAGAACTCGCCCGGCACAGGAAACCGGGTCTCCGATCGCAAAATTTGTATTGACAGCAGCACCAGCGGAACCGCGGGAGCCCACTGCGTATGACTCGCAGAACGCTCAGATATGGATTCGTATCACCCGATCCGCCCGATGCACGCTCAAGAGCAAATTCAACAAAACCCGCCTCTCCGCCGATATCCCCCCACTACCATCCCTAAATGCTCTGGACCCTCTGGCGATCCATCCTGTTCGAGTTCTGGCGGATGCTCCTCATCACCACCGCCGTCGTCGTCGCCGCCATCGCGTTCGCGACCACCGTCAAACCCCTCGCCGATGGATCCCTCACCTTCGACCAAGCCTTCCGCTTCCTCGGATACGCCATCCCCCCGATGCTCGCTTACGCGCTCCCCTTCGCCGCGGGATTCTCCGCGACGATGACCTACCACCGCATGGTCTCCGAGAACGAGCTCACCGCCACCTTCGCGTCAGGGATCTCCCACAAGCAAGTCCTCTTCCCGATGCTCGTCTCAGGGATCATCCTCGCCGGATCCCTCGTCGCGCTCAACAACCAGGTCATCCCCCGCTTCCTCCAGCGGATGGAAGAGATGGTCACGCGTGACTTCGCCAAAATCCTCGTCAACGCGCTCTCGCAAGGCCAATCCGCGATGATCGGGAACACCGAACTCCACGCCGATCGCGTCGAAGAACTCGCGATCGCCAAAGATTCCCCGATCCAGCAGCAGTTCCTGCTCGGCGGAGTAGCGATGGTCGAAGCCGAGGACGACGGATCCATCCGTATCGACGGCACCGCCGCCCGCGCCTGGATCCTCATGCTCCCCGCGTGGGCGCTCCAGCCCGAACAACGCGCGCGATTCACCGACGACAACTCCACCGCGATCGTCATGAAGTTCGAAGACCTCACCATCAACGAGCAAGGCGACGCCGTCGCGTGGGAAGAGATCACCTCCCCCGCGATCCCAATCCCGCGTGTATTCAAAGACGACCCCAAGTTCATGACCGCTTCAGAAATGAAGCAACTCGAAGACAATCCAGACCTCATGAACTTCGTCGACGACTGGCGCATCGCCCTCGCGCGCGCCATCGCGTCCGATCAAACCTACCGCGCCCTACAAAACCAAGTCTCCAGCGGTCAGCCAATCATCCTCACCTCAGGATCACAAACCATCACGATCCTCGCCGGCGCACTCCGCAGCGCCCCCGGCCAATGGATCCTCGATCCGATCGCATCAACAAACGCGATCGAGATCGAGGTCACCACCCACCACGCCAACTCCCAGTCCACCGATCGACTCCGCGCCCAGTCCGCGACCATCAATCCAGACGCGACCGCGTCCGTCGATCCCTTCGACTCCCAGTCCGCACCAAACCGACTCGCGATGGACCTCAATCTTTCAAACATCACCATCGAAAACGAGATCACCACAGAGATCACGCAAACCCAGTACTCCTCGCTCCATGTCCCTTCCGATCCGCTCCCAGACCTCCTCAAAAACAACAGCGCCCAGATGCTCAGCATTTCGACGAACTACCGGAACAACACCTCCGTCCAATACAACGGTCAGATCGCAGCACTCGCAGCCCAGCTTGAGTATGAGATCAATAGTCTCTCGCGCGAAGTGCTCTCCAAAGTCCACGAGCGCTACGCCTTCGCCGTCGCGTGCCTCATCATGGTCCTCGCCGGAGGTGTCACCGCGATGCGCCTCAAGCATGCGCAACCCCTCATGATCTACCTCTGGTCATTCTTCCCCGCGCTCCTCACCATCCTCTTCATCGCAGGCGGACAACAAGCCGTCCACAAATCCGGATCCCCCGCGCTCCCCTTGCTCTGGTCCGGGATCCTCCTCATCACCCTCTACACCCTCAACGCGCTCCGCAAGGTCGCCAAGCACT